ATACTTCTATACCGTAAAACATCAAATGAAAAAAAAAAATACTTATTGATTTTGAAAGTATTCTGTCATGAATTCCGAAAATGACTTTGTCTTTACATGAAATTCCATCAGACAGGACCCAAAAAGCATTGGCCTGCATTCTTTCATTAAAAACATTCACAAAGTTTGCTCAAAACTTGTATATAATCTGCTTATTTTCGAGAATCGTAAATTATGAGAGACATACATGCCATACTTTACACAAAAAGGCAAAGTTATGAATGAGTAGTGAAAGTTTAAAATATTTTTTTTTAAAAAATGGTTGTGGAATTTTGTATGAAATAGAGAAAATAATGCCAAATTCCCATAGAATTCAGGAAGTTAAAAATCAAGTCAATTTCCCTTTTTAAAATGAGACATTTTTGCATCTGGCCACTCTTATAGGTTTTGAGAGGCGTAACATTCCAACACAAATATTGTGGACACCAACCATCCGTGAATTTAATAATCACACACTACGGAGTAAAGATACAAATGTAGCGAAACTAATGGCACAATTCAATACGGTATTCCAACTCGAATAGAAATAGTTTTTGACATTTATTTGCCTTTCTTTTTTTTCTTCTCTTTAATGAATACAATGATTGATCCTGTTTTCGTGCAAATATTTTTGGATGACAATCCGCATTGCATAAATGTGTGAAGTTCATTTTTTTGGAATGATTTTGTAAAAATATTCGACGAAATTCTTTAAAAAAATTCGAATTGTAGTTTTGGGCTGTCTTTGACTGTCGTCAGCAGAAAATGAAGGCAAATTCAAATAGCATTTACTTTAAAATTACTCCTTTATTCTTTATTTAATGATGTTTACTAGCCAACATTCGTTTACTATATCTTCTTAACATTATTTTCTATCATTACGTTCATGAATTTGAATTATTACTTAAATTTAGAGGCTTCGAACGAAATGCATTGTTCTTTTATTATAAAGTCATCACAATGTATGCTACTGTTGAATTCCATGCCAACTGAAACCAGTAGTAGAATTCAAAGCGTAATAGAGGGGAAATCACACAGGTATTTTATCATAAAAAAATTATTAAATATATGTGAAAACAAAAAATTCTGCAGTAATATGCTACTTTAAGGTGCAATGTTAATGCAAATTAAATGGCATGATATTTCCCTGTAACTATTTGTCAAATTTGCAAAATGGCCCCTCTGTTACATTGCATATTTTGAAGTTAATAAAAATGTGTAAGTAATTTCAAAAGGCTTGTAATAATTTATTTTACCTTGAAATGTGATATTTAAAGAATAATGTTTAGGATGTTCCAAATCACAGAATATAGTAGAAATAACAGTGCATGTCAAAAATACTGGATTTTCTTTGTCCCCTCTGTTACGGACGCTTTTAATTACCTGACAATTAAATTATGAGGCTCTTTTAATATTTTATGCAATTAAATTAAACAGTGCACCTGAAAGTAGCATATTATTGCAAAATTTTTTGCTTTCACATATATTTAATACATTTTTTAGGATAAAATACCTATGTTATTTCCCCTCTGTTACGCTTGGAATTCTACTACTTTCTATGATGAAGGTATTTAGTTACAGTTTTACAACTATTAAAAATCAGATAAGTTAAATTAATTTTTCTAATAAATTTTATGTAAGACTGTGCTCAATCAGCGCATAATAATTTTATGACATTCTAAAGCAATTAGCACTGTAGCTAAATAATCTCTTTGGCGAAGTTTTCATATTAACCAAAAAGGAAAAAAATCCTTTACAAAACAAGTTGTATGGATGATAGGTAGCCAAACAATAAGTTATAATTTTTCCCAATAGTATAAGAAACTGAATCTGTATTTATGCAAGCGCGAAATTTCGGTGTTTTTTTTTTTTTTACATAATTTAATAATTTTCAATTTTGATGAAAATGTGTGCTGACTGACAAGAGACAAAAATAATTCCGAAATAGTTGGAGAAGGAAGCAAGCCCTTTAACAGTTCAAAATAAATTATGATGTACTGTTGTGCTCCTATTTCGTTATTAAATTTTTCACATTTCGCCTAATAGTAAAATTTTCACAGATCGAATGAAATATAGTTAACACGAATGTCACCAAGATATAAATTTATCGAATACTAAAAGTTCATGGAATTAAGGAAATGATGGACTACATTCAAAAACTTTTTTATGAAAAAATTTAACCATAAATGTCAATGGGGCTGTGCCAAATATAAATGCGTGTTATTGGATGCTGTTCGCTAATGGGGTACTGAAATTCGTTTATCGGGAGATAAATACCCGGTACATTCTCAGTTAAAACGGTTTCATACATAAAATTTTCGGTATTACTTCCACTGCTAAACCTCTTTCCCAATAATCTTATTTACTTTATAAGGTAGTGCTTATTAAAGTTTCTAGGACGCTTCATTTAAACCACCTGTTTACTCACTTTTTGTTCATTTAAACAGAAAAAAATTAGTTTGGAATGTAATTTAAAATAATTTTTATAACAAAAATGAATAGAAATTGTATTTATTTTATTTTAGAATTAATTATATAAATGTGTAACTATTGCTATAAACGCTGTTATCAAAAATTCCAAAATTCGTTATTAACAAAATGCAAATAATCCGATGATTATTTTTTTTAAAATTTTAATCTTACGTCTGTTTATGCGAGAGTAATGATGGTGTTTATATATTCTATGAAGTATTATTATTTTTTAACACGAGATTGCCCAAGGAAGTCATTTTGACTACTGTTTAATTTTAATTAAAAAAACAATGATGTATATAATGACACAATTTCTTAGAGTTTAGCTACTTTTATAATTATTTCTATTGTTTATATTTACTAATAACTTGTTATATAACTGAAAATAATATAAAAAATATTGAAAATTAATTTTAAACAAAATTTTTTATACATTAGTTATTCTTTCACAATGCAGTCATTTCGACTGCTTTTAGGCAATATAGGTATTTCAGTCTTTCTAGTGTTAATGTCTCACAAACCTTGTAACGCGTGTTCTTCGAGCGGTTTTAGAGAATGTTGCGGATTCGATATCAAAATCGTTGTTGTTTTTTCAGAAGATAAAATGGCAATTTTATGAGAAGAATATTTTTAAATATGAAGCTTCGAGCTTAAAGCCAAAGGAGTATCGCTATTTGCTGTTGCCACCACTGCAAAAAGTTTATCTTTTTATTGGTTCACTCACCTTCAATTGCTCATCTGTTTAAAGCGGAAGATGGTGTTTCAATAAGCGTGAAATTATTGCAAAGAGTGACAAATGAAATGTCTTCTGTAATGCGCCATTCAGCAGAGAAGATTTCTTGGTGTTTTCCTAAAATGACGTCATAAAAATTTTNTTTAAGTACTTGTTTATCTTTCTAGTGTTAATGTCTCAGAAACCTTGCAACACGTTCTCTTTGAACGGTTTTAGAGAATGTTGCGGATTCGATTCGATATCAAAATCGTTGTTGTTTTTTCAGAAGATAAAATGGCAATTTTATGAGAAGAATATTTTTAAATATGAAGCTTCGAGCTTAAAGTCAAAGGAATATCGCTATTTGTTGTTGCCACCACTGCAAAAAGTTCATCTTTTTATTGGTTCACTCACCTTCAATTGCTCATCTGTTTAAAGCGGAAGATGGTGTTTCAATAAGCGTGAAATTATTGCAAAAAGTGACAAATGAAATGTCTTCTGTAACGCGCCATTCAGCAGAGAGGATTTCTTGATGTTTTCCTAAAAAGACGTCATAAAAAATTTTCTATTTAAATCCGTTTTCTTTTTTCTTAAATTCTTTCGAACGTTTACTTTAGAATTTTAAAAAAATCTTTTACAGTTTTTTCTTTTCAGAATAATATTACATATTTTTCATAATAAGCAATCTAATATCATGTCACAAGACTCTTTTTACACTATCATTCCTTCCTTTAGTCAAAAAATTATCATTTTGCTGTTCTTAAAAAAAAAAAAAAAAAAAAAAAAAAAAAAAGAAAAATCAGATCAGTNAAAAAAAAAAAAAAAAAAAGAAACTTCAGATTCCATAAGCTCTGGAAGCGAACAATTTATGCAATCTTTATATAGCATCGCTAAAATTATTCCCGAATCAAAGTCGTAAGTATATAAACTATTTATAAACATTCAATTGACATATTCATATATTGACATATTGCGGTTGGCTTGAGAAAAGGAAGTTCCCTCCGGGACAGAAATGTTTTGATTGTTTTTTTTTAGAAACAAAATCGAACGTATTAACGAAAACATCGATGATTGTTTCCTAAAACCGTGATCGATAATGTGTCGCCCTAAGCGTGAACGTTTCAAAACGATTGAGACTCAACGGTGATTCCTATATGCAAGTTATAACGGATGCAAAAAATTATTTTTAATCACATACACATAGATTCGTTTAATTTTTTCAACAAACCATAACAACATAACATAAAATAAAAAACATAGGAATATTTAATTAGCTAATGATTTGATCATAAGAATTAACAAAGTTAAAATAAAACGAAGTTTTTTTTAAAATTTACAAGCCAATTTTTTTTTTCTTGAGGAGTTTTAACTGGACAGATGTGTTACTTTTAGTAAAAAAAATTTTTTTATTAATATAAGTAAGCATAAGTTATATTACATAAATAAGCAAATTTTATTTAGAATTTTATTATTATGGTATTATTAATTTAAAATACTCGTTTCTAAATACAGAGTTCATACGCACCTGGTAAAAATTAGAAAGGGAAGTAATATTAATATAATTTTTTTATCTGATTATGTTTGCAGTCACCAGAATATTTTATCCTCTCTAAGTAAATATATATAGATCTGAAGGTTGCTGATATTAAATTTTCATTCCATAGTGGTAACAAACATTAATAAATTTTCAGCTTCTTTGTAACAAAAGTAATACCAATTAATAATTTTTTGAAGGTACGTACAAACCAGGTAAATAATATAAAAGTAAACAATTTAAAATTGTGTTATAAAAACTCACCTCATTAGCTCGAATAATCGATTCTATGCCAAACGAATTCGAAGTTATCCATTCGTTTCAACACCTGTTATTCTTCTCTCTCCAAAAGGAATCGTTTTTCCACTCTCTCTCTCGAAGAAGAGAGAGGAATGAATGGCAAAGGAAGAAGAAGGATTGTTACCAGAAGGGCAGAAGTAGCGGAACTAACGAGTTCGCTTTCTTATCGCCTTCTCAAATCAGAGGAAAAATAATCTTGCGTATCTCACTTCTCCAGAATGTCCGAAAAATGCGCATTATTAGATGCGCAATGAAATAAAGTTAATTTTCTTTGCATTATTTCACATTCTGGAAGCAGAGAGTGAATGATTAAAATTATAAATGTCACAAACCTTCCTCTCTGTATCCTGGAAAAGAATTGAAAAGTCTTCTTGTAGCAACTAAAATTATTATGATTCAGAAAATATTTGTTTTTTTAATGTTTTATATACACTGAAGAGCCAAAAAAACTGGTATACCTGCCTAATATCGTGTAGGGCCCCAGCCAGCTTGAAGAAGTGCCGCAACACGACGTGGCAGGGATTCGATCAATGTGTGAAGTAGTGCTGGAGATAATTGACACCATGAATCCTGCAGGGCTGTCCATAAACCAGTGGGAGTAAGAGGGGGTGGCCAGCGGCACTCTTCTGAACTTAGACACTTCCGCTGGCCACCAAAATCCCCAGACATGAACATATTTGGGACGCCTTGCAACGTGATGTTCAGAAGATATCCCCACCCCCTCTTTCTCCCACTGGTTGATGGACAGCCCTGCAGGATTCATGATGTCAATTATCTCCAGCACTACTTCACACATTGATCGAATCCATGCCACGTCGTGTTGCGGCACNTTTCTTATGTGCTGATTATTTACAAAATACAAAGAAAGAAATTATTTGCTTGTTCCCCTACCCCCAGCAAAATTGCGAGAATATCACCCATAATATTAGAATAAAAAAATTTTTAATGAAATTAAAATATATATATATATATACTTTTTTTGTTGCCTTTTAGTAGAGATTACAGTGCCGATAAACATATCGGAGCTTCACTGGCATCGGGCTGACTACAAGAGTTTTCCGTGGTTTTTATCTCCATTTTGCGCAAATGGTGACTAGTTTCGTTTAAAATAATTCTTCTTGAAGTTAAATGTGACCTTGTTCTTTAAACAGGTCTTCTCTTCCCTTTAGATACCAGGATAAGAAGTTGACGCTGGAAAAAGCTGCATATCCATTAAGTAGCTCGATGTTCAACGGCGGAAAGTCATGAAGTGGTAACCTAAATTATGTAGGAAAATGAGAGTCACGTAACTAATCATGATAGCGTAGTTAACTACGATCGATAAAATATCCAAAACTGTCAAAACATTTTTATAAATTAAAACGTGCCATTTTTGTATAAAACTGCACAATTTTAATAAAAAATTGAAAATAATTTATGTGTTTTAACAACTATAACTAGACATTTTATGTATAAAAATTCTTTTATTTAATTTCAGAAATACTTTAGATATAACGAATTGACAAAACATTTTGACCACGCTCAGCTCTATTTAAAACAATACTTTTTTTTAAATCAAAAATTACCGAATTCTTACCAATTAAAGTGATCCTCTTACCAGTAAAAGATGCCTCTGAATTGTTTTTGATCGGTTTTTGGACTAACAAGACTAGATAAAATTTGATGCCAGTTTCGTCCAAATTAAGTTTGCTAAAATTGTATTTCTTGAATATAAGTCTAAATACATGTATATTTACTTTATCATTTTACACAAAATTATATTCGATGACAAATATTAAAAATCGTACGTGAAAACTAGCAAATACTACGAACAAAAATCATTAAAATTTTCCATTATAAAAGAATTAGAATCAAACCAATAGAGCCCAATAAATTTTGTGAGTTATGTCTTTACCATACTAAAGACATAAAGATTGAGCGAAAAAACAAAAAGAAGGAACGTATAAATTTTAACGCTTATTTACACAAGTTCACTGAAATGTCACATAGCCGGTTCTTACTCTCAGCTCTTCATATATCCCAGGTAGCAAAACGATATTATTTAACATCAGATAAATTCAATATAATACTGCCGTGATAAAAAACGCTAGACTCCTGAATGAATATTCGATTTTACATTTGAACTTTTAAATTTATCATGTGTTTCATTTACTGGAACGGGGATGCTTTTGGACTGCGGCTACTGTTTTGGGAAAAATTTATGTATAAAAAAACAAACACTAACTTAAAATATCATTTTGCATCAATGCAATTTTATACCAAATAACGGAAGAAAATGTTTGGGAAGTAAGTTCGGCTTCGCGAACGATAAAATAGAAAAACTTTTTCCACTATTGAGTTGTAACTTCTTTACGATTGCTTACATTGGTCGGTGGCTTCGAATGAATCACTTCAAAGGTATTTAAATTTTTATTACATTTTCTAAATTCCAATAATAATTACGTAAAACATTAAATTAGTATTGTAGGTAGAGTTCTTCATTCAGTTTAAAATTAGCTGGAAAAGTAATAAAGCACTTCAAAGCATGAAATAGAGGATGATATTATAAAAACATTCAGTGCAATTAATAATCGTGACTTCTTAATCAGAACATTTAAGTACTTGTTTAGTGATCTTCTATCTAAAAAAGTCAGTAAATAATAATTAATTGTGCTTATTGTGACAATGAGTATTTCACACTTAGTAGTTGACTTCGATGTTAAAACGTGTTGTCTAGCTATAAATAATAAGTATTATAGTTAATTCAGAACATGCTTTTAAAACAACGCTTACTTAGTAATTTGCACGAGACAGAATTTTTCTGCAACAATTCTAACGATAAAATATTATTGTGTGCAAATAAGTTAGCCATGTTATAATAAATAAAAAATTAATAATCCATTACTTTTAGCTCAGTTATTTAAGAATAGCTAAAGTTTAATACATAAGACGAGCGCTATTGTTTCATTATTAAAATATCATGTTTAAAATATGGTAAAATAATGAGTTAAACAATTTTATTTACATTTCTTGAATGAAGACTAAAATGTATGTATTTGATATTTTCCTATATCATCGTTTATATTAATTTATAAATGATAACGAATGATTAAAAATTCAACAACAATATGTTCTATTCGAAGTCGTGCTTACGTTGAATGAGCAGAGCTGGAAAGTTGAATAATGTAATTCAATAATTTTACAAATAAATTGCCCAATTTTTACTGCAAATGTTTTAAAGCTCGGAATGCAGCCACTTCAGGAGATTCTTTATAACTCCGAGGCGTCAAAGCTGCTGCTGCAGTTAACAGTTCCTTTAATGGCATCTATAGTTTGTCTACGGTATGAACTCCCCCTGCCACAAAGTCTGAGGCTGTCTGCTGCTATGGAAACAAGAACGCATTTCAGGGAGGGTTGTTTCTCTCCACTTTAGGGCTAACACAGAAGACCGAAGAAAAGGATTCCCTTTCTCTCGCCGATTCGAGCCAAAACTTTTCCTAAACAATGATCCAACACCCCTACTTGAAATAATTCTACCTAGTTACCATAGTCACAGCCACGACTCCAGACGAATGGCTGGGGGAGTTCTTACTTTAGACAAAGTATAGAGAACAACCCTCATCTACGGACACGACAACAACAACAAAGAAAATATTTGAACTTTTTTTTCTTAAATAAAACATTTAATACTTGAAATTTATTTTTAATGTTTTGAGGAGTGGCAAAAGACTACAAATCAAAAATGGTAAGGATTTAACCCCCGCTGAGGAATCATTCACTGATATAGAAGAGTCAAATAGTGGAATAATTGATATGGGAAATTTTGAAAATGAATTAAATACAAGCTTTCAGAATTCAAATCAAGGTAAAGAAAAAGAAAAACAGGTCATATTAATGTTTTGAGTCCAACGTTGGTGTTTATCCTGGCTCAGGCATTTTCAGAAACAAACTAAAAATTTGGATGAGGAATGGGAATTTTTCAAAAATTCCTTCGGGATTTTGCTTTGAAATCATTTATTAACAATTGATTAAATTGTAATTCCTTTGAGGAAATAAGCAAATTTTTTTTAAGAACATTATTTTTTACCTTCCATTTGCTTTAACGATTTTCAAAATTTAAAATTTTCGAATCAAGCTAAAGACTCATATTTTATCGAAACTCATATTTTATCGAGTAGAGTTGCGTCCAAAAATAAATTTAAATAATCAGCATAAAATTGTTTAAATAAACAAATAAACAAAAGATAATAAATAAACAAATCGAAGAATTATTAAAGCATAACTTAATGAAAGAAATCTTTTCTCCCTATTCGGTTCCAGTAACTTTAGCTTTTAAAAAAGTAGAAAATAAAAAATGTAGATTATCTATAGACTTTAGAAAACTAAATCAAATTACTAAATCCGATGCAAGAACCATTATTCCTTGTAGAAACTCTATCAAAGTATGAATATAGAATTAAACAAAAATTAAGAACAAAATTTAGTTTGAAAAACAGTAAGCCAAAATGGAAAAATGCTAAAAATCAGTTAAAAGCAAAATTGCTTTAATTAAATAATATAAATAAAAATGGGAGAATTTTAATAGACGGATAAATAACAAAATATTAATTTCCAAACAAGATTGTGCATTGCAGCTAATCATAAGATATGAAATTTGAAAAAAGTATTTTAAACATTTAATGAATAAAGAATATGAAAACAATAATACCTCCGTCAAAATTAATAATTCTTAAAAAAGAAATTTACTATAGAATTTTAGCTTTTTCCAAATAAATTGGTTTAAAAATCAATAGTATTAAAGATCCTTATTTATTTCCAACAGTTAAATTTCACAAAATACCAGTTATATTTAGTTGTAGTACTGGATGTCATAATTCTATTTTTTTTTTAAATTTTCTTTTTAAATATTTAAACATCATTTTAAATAAAATTATTGCTAATGATAGACATTTTATTATAAATAACTACCAAGATATTATTGAATAATTGAATTATAATAAAATTAATAGTATACTTACCTGTGATTTTGAAAATTTATTTACACCACACGATAATTTAAAAAGTATTTGTTTATATACTTTTGATAAATATTTGATAAATGAATATATTATTATAGAGGATTGGATTAATTTATTTAAAGTAAACGTTTTTGAAAATTATCTCCTTAATGGTATTTGTTTTTACAAACTAATTCAATGTATTTCGATGGCAAATTGTTATTCTAGTGCTTTTGCTAATATAACAATTGTTTTGCTAATTTTACAACATAACTTAGTAATAGGATTTAGATTTATTGATTTGATTATATTTGATGGTAATGATTTTAATTTTATTCAAAATAT